CACCCCGCACCCACCGAAGACGCAATCCCGCCCCGACAGCTCCCCGCCGCCGGCCTCCCCTCGCCGACCTCCGCGCCCCGCTCCCGCCCCTCCTCCGCGCGGCCCTCCGGTCGCCTCCCCTGCCCCGCCCACGCTCCCGCCGCCCCGAACCCCGCCAGGCCCGCCAGCCACGATCCCTCCCCGCCCCCCGGCGCCGACCCATCCAATCCCTCCTCCCGGCTCTGGCCCTCGATCGGCGTTCCCCCCGACGGAAAGAACCCCCAGGTACCCATCGTGGCGGCGCGGAGGGGATGGGCTCGGCGGCGATTGTTCCCGGGCCCGTTCAGTGGGAAGCGGACCGGGAATGGCCGGCTTCAGCCGGCGGAGGGCATTTAGCCGTCGCGTCTGCGGCCCACGGCGGCGGGTGGTCGTTGCTTTGCGGCTGGCGGCGGCCCCGACTGTCCCTGAGGCGGGGGGGGCCCTGGCCAGGCGCAACGCTCGGCTAGTGGTCGCGCCCGGATGCCTGCAGCGCCCCGCGCCAGCAGGGCCTGTGTTTTGAGGCCCATTTGTCGCTTTTTTGGCGCCCAGTACTACGCTGTATCGGTGGGGCTTGATGCTGAAGAATTCCGGGCTGATGCGCGGTTGGAACAAATCCGCAGCGGCTGAAATACGGTGGGGGCAGTCTGCGGCAGCGCGCCGTGGCCGGTGCCGGTGCTCCGGCGGGAAACGGGTCCCCGCGCTGCACATGCGGTCCGACGCAAGCCGGATGGAACGAGGTGGCTTTGAAAGCAAGGTGCACTGCTATAAGCCTGTCGGCGACCTTGTGCTAGCGCTCGCAACGGGTGGGTGCCGGCGGCGCTCGAAATGCGGCCGCGGCAAAGTATGCCGGACAAGCGAGCTTTGACATTTTGTTGCATTCCGATCTTCGTTGCTTTTGTGCAGTTTTGACAGGGCTTGGGGTGGCTACCGTGGGGCCGCGTGGTTTCTTGGCGTGGAGACTCCCAGCCCTTGAATAAACACAGGCTCAGGCACAACTGGCCGGAGGTCGCTGTCCGTCCCGCCAACCGCACAGCCGGGATGATATGAACCCGGCGGGGCTCGAACCCGCGACCTCCGGCTCATAAGACCAGCGCTCTAACCGACTGAGCTACGGGTTCGCGCACTCGCGCCCTTATAGTATTAATTTCTACGCAAAATAGCATTCGCCGTCACAATTATTCATTAAATGAATGATTGGCACAAACATCTGCGAGTGCCTCATCGCCACCACGTTCCAAGGCTGCCCCAAACAACCCCCCCGCACTTGAGGCCAGCACCCCTGCCGCCCTCTGACGCTCCACTCAGGAAGCCCCTCGCGCGGCCCGCGGCCTCGACGGTGCATAGCCGGCCAGGCCCTTCCCCGGCCTTGCACTCCTCCTAGCGTCGCACGAACGCGCTCCTGACGTCGCCACGAAGATGCTGGCGGGCATGTGCGCGGTGACCACAATTGCAGGTGATCGAGACTGGCGCCCACAGCAACTTACCCAGCTGCGCGGGCGCGTCGTGCAGCGGTGGCCCATCTTGGGCTACATCTCTCGGGCTGTCTGGACCCCCTGCTGTTTGTGGTTGCATCACCGGATAGTGGCGGAGTGGCGAAAGGGCTTGCGTTGTAACGTCTTTGGCAATGTGGACGGGGGGATTAAGTATCTGCCGGGTTACGTGTGCTCTCGTCCGAAGCCCGCCGGCATACCTGGAGCCACAGATCCAAAGATCCTCGCGGCCTAATTGGCCGTTCAACAAACAGAAAGCCGAGGAGTATTGCAATGCCCACCTTCCTGAGCAGTAGATTTTGTGAGACTGATTCTTCACACAAGGGCAGAACCTCCACACTGTCTAAGATGATTCAAAGATCCGACGTGCCGCCGTGGTTCGAGTTCCGGGGCACGATGTGGGGTCGCAAGAGGTGTACAAAGGAAAGGGACCCGGAATTGTACCTTGGCCAATCGGCCCATGTGTGCGATTGGTTTTCTGTATGACTGCCCAATTGCACGATGAAAGTGGGTTCTGAATTGCTTATTGTGGTGTTGGCCAGACGTTTTCCACCAGTCAAGTCTCCTCCATTGGCTGAGCTGACAAGTGTAGATGGACTATGTACACTGCAATTTGATGGTGCGTGGTTCCTGCCATTGAAACCACATAAATGGAGGGGATGCAATAGAGATGCCAGTACTGCATAGTGTTCCTGGATGTGGTCGGTTTTGCACCAATCCATAACTGGTGAAGATTTAGACCTCTAACATGCCATTCATTCCATACAGACGCACCTCGTGGAGTGACACAGGCGTTGCAGGCGTTGTTGCAGCCTTGTTGGCAATCTTCACGCTTTTTGTCCCCGGAGCCTGTCAATCAATTTCAGCCTGTCAGTCTCTCAGTCAACTGAAATGGAGCTCATCAGTTCCTTTGTCATCAGTGTTGGCATTTCTGCACAACACGCATTCACATCAGATACCTCATAATGGTGCCACCATTCAAGAATGTAACGTGAAGAAAATTCTGTTCCCCATCCAAACCCATGGCCGCTTGCTCCTCAATGGAATGTCTTCGAATTCCCCCACTCAATATGCCTGAAATAGACTCGTAGCTTGGTAGGGCCTGAGCACACAGAATTCCTTGGATATTGGTAAATCAACTTGAGTAGTGGACCGGCAGTGGCTCTTGCTTTCGCTCCACTGCCTTTTCGCCACGAGCAGTGCAGACTGCAGTTTTGCTAATTCATAACATAAGCCCTCTAGTCTTTGACGGTAGGCCCTGAGCACATTTAACTCCTTGTGTTTTGGCAAATCAACTTGACCGGTGGACCAGCGGGGGCTCTGGCTGTTGCTCTACTGCCTTTCTCGCCACGAGCTGTGCAGACTGCAGTTTTGCAAGTTCGTAGCATCAGCGACCTTGTCTTTGACGGTGAGGCAAAATGTTTGCACTCGAATAGCTTCGTTGCTACAAAGGCTAAGGATGCAACATGGTAGCAATTCACCAGTGGTTATTCTGGTGCTGTGGAGAAAGGCTGAGACACTGGTGGACATTTGTCCAGAATGGCACATCAACGTTGACCGAAAACCTGGATGTTGCAAGAGACGTTGGGCATGTATGCACCCAAGGCCCTGGCTTGTCCCATGCTGCGTATTCCCAAATGTGTGGGGCGCAGCGATCGAGGTCTGTGCAGTGTTCCTACAGCCGTGATGCCCACGATGTACAATTCTGTTGTTGGCACAGGGAAACCTTAGGTCCTGAGTCAGTGTTAAAAAGGAGTGGGGACAATCGGTGGCCAGCGATGCAGAGGATGATCCCCAGCTCAACCTGGGCTCGGTCTTCACTTCTCGAGGACATCCTCATTGGCCGCATTTGTCGACCCATGACAAATCGCTGCCTGTCTACCTATTGTCTCCAGTCCCAACGAAGAGTTTTTTCGCTAGTGAGACCAACACTGTTCAGACGCAAGTCTCCTCTCTCGGGAAGTGGAAGCATCCACAAATCTGCCCTGCATGCGTGCCAGGCGTTGCTCCTCGTTTGAATGGCTGGAAGCAACGGCCATTGAAAAGCAGAGGCTGACATCGACTTCCAACAGTTTTAGCTCGATTATGTCCGCTTACAAAAGTGTCGCTGTACATTTCTGGACATAAAAAATAGTGCCATGTGCCACCCCGCCGACCCCACCCAGATCACCACCCAGCCATCCGCTCCTGACTACTCTCCTTCGCCCTCATCTGCTCACCTATATCTCTCCTACCCCACACTCCGCCAGACCGTCCTGCAGACGTCGCCCTCAGTCAGAGGCGCCGCAGGCCACAGATCGCACCCAGAGGTCAACGCTCCGGCAACCCATCCACCAATCCCCCCGCCTGTGCCCACCCTAACTGGGCCATCCATCCCATCGCTCCTCACATATCCGCGGCCCCACCCGCAGAACTCTCGAAAGCCGGAATTTCGGGACCCTCCCGTACTCGGCGGCCTGTGTCTCCCCCATGCTCCGTGACGGCACAACGGCCCAAACTCATGTTGCGCCCTCCCACCCTGCAAGGAAGGCGCAACATGGGATTGGTTGATTGGCCTGAGGGGCCACCACGTTTGGCGCCATCTTTGCTTCAAGGGGATTGTGCCCTGAGGCCCCTGGCCTAAGGTGGCGATCCAGTGTTTCGGCGGAGGATCGGGGTCACAAGAAGTAATCCGGCACAGGGCGCTTGGCCTGGACGCCCCGTGCCTCCTGGGGTGCTGCCTCGAAAACCTTGAAGCTCTTGGTCAGACTCTCGTCCAGCTCAAGGATAGCGGCGACATTGCCGCACCTGTGTGGACCACACCGCACATGTTGAATCATGACACCTAAAATTGGAGACTTGGCATCAGGGCAGATGACAAACTGGACTGCTGGCGTGCCAGGTGTCCAAAAGTGGATCACCCAACAAAAGCTGGTCAACAATACGGCGCCAACGACAAATGTGGGACGCTGTGAGGGTACTGACATTGTATATGTGCTGACATATGCACATTAATAGGTCTTCAACATACACTCTGACAACAGTTTCGCCGATGTTCCATAGTATAAAAAGATGACACCTTTCCAAGACGCCTAACAACAGATTGAAGAGGCTGCTCTATTGATCAGCGAACGTTGGGTTGGCCTTGACTGCAGCCCAGATTTTTCCAACCAAATGTCAGCGCCAGTTTGGTCGGCTGCATACCCCAAACTAGAGGGATACACTTCCAAAACATGCAAGCAGACAATTTGCATTATATTCCAATGTAATCGGCACGTTTGGACTCGTTTCTGACTCGGCACGTTTGGAGCAGCATGCCTTCAGCATCATCACTGATTAACATATATAACCTACAGCCAGAAATTATGCATGTGCAGAGGGACCCATTTCTATATGCGCAACTTGCACCCTTATCCCTCACCTGTAGCAGTAGTTTGGTGCTGACCAGACAGTCACCAAGCCATTGTTGAACATGCATTTGTAGCCATCCATGACCAGTTGGTGTGCGCGAGCTATGAAGTCGATCTTGTTTGCCTGGTTGAACTGGGAGCAGATGTCGCCACCGAACAAATAGCCCGCCCCCCGTGGGCTCAGCCCCCACCCGTCGATCTCTTCAGGGTCAGACCACAGCAAGTCGCACATCGCCCCATCGTGGGGCACCTCCTGCTTGCGATCAATGGTGCGAATCTGGAGGCAGCACAAAGGCATCAGATAATCTTCTTTGAATTGTTGGAACTGCGTTTTGCTGCAGATTGTAAATGCAAACCCCTTGCAGCAAAATTGCCAGTGACAAACACATGTGGCAAACGATGTCTTTTTGCACTGTCACCGCTCCAGTATTCTGGAGTAAGCAAAAGACACAATGTCTGCTCCTTGTGCATTGGCCCCAAACTGCATGGCGGCCATACTGCAATTGGCGCTCTTGGGCTCGTGCTAGCACAAACTGGCCGTACATGGCTGCACATGGCTTCAGAGATGGCACCGCATATGGCTGGCCTTAAGCACCTGTGCCAGTGCCCAGGTCCTTGGTCACCCTTGCGGGCGCAGTGCAGTTGAGCGCAGTTGCTGAACAGGCCAATCCCAGGTGCCCGATGCGCAACCGCAATGCGCAACGTGTGAAACATCCTTCGAGCAAGCAGTGCCAACTACAAGAGGACTTGTGCCAGCATGCTTCCAGACCCGACCACAACGGCACTATGACATGTACAATGCAATAAGAAACGGCAGGACGATGGCGATCGACTACTCAATACGCACTACACACATGTGTTCAAGGGATGGCATCATAGTACAGTGAACTCGAATGAATCCATGAATCAATAAGAGAGCACGACAGCAGATTGTGCACAGTTGTTGTCATGAATGCGACTCTCTTGTACACAGTTCCTTCCACATATGACAGCCTCTCGATCATCGTCTACAGTGCGGAGAAAAGCCCAGCTTCGTGGTTCTTGCCTAAAAGGATACTCTCCACTGTTAACATGAGACAGTGTGCATTTTGCCAGCAATGACGTGTCCAAAATATGTGCAACGACCACAAACTCTACAAACAGTCAAGGTTATGAGCACCACTACTTCACCCTGAAAGTAACCGACCTCCAGAGAACAGTCTTGCATTGCCCATTGTACTGTGTGTTCCAGTGACAACGCTGGATAATGCTTGTCACGGCAGAGAAGCAATGAAAGAACAATCACATGCTTCACCAAGCATTGAGAGGTCATTGTAGACCACAACAAATGCTGACACCAACTGACAGTATTGAGCGAGTGGAGACATGTCCTATGAGTCATCGCCTGTGACCACAGTGTCCTTCCATTTCACCACAATGAAAACATTTGTTCCTGTGTTTCGAGAAGACCACTCACCTGGTCGAGGGTGTTGATCGCAGGCGACAGGCCTCCATGCACGCAAAACACTTTGTTGTCGATCACAGCAGCCAAACTGCACAGCACATCAAGTTTGAGAATGGAGCAAACCGCCCAGGATTTGGAGAAGAGGAATCCCAACGTTGACATCCACAAAATGAATGTACAGCTTTCTAGAGAAACGGAGCTGAAGCAATGCAACTTTTGCAAGCTTGTTCTTGGGTCTGGTTGTCAACTCAGCAACGGACCTGAGCTGGCAGCATGGAGTACAGCAATTGGTAACTGTGGCACAGCTGGCACATCAGTTGAAGATGCAGCTAGCAACAAGTTCCTCCAATGTCCAGCATCATTGTACAAGAGGAGAAGCAGGCCATGACATGGTATGCCTCAATCCAACAGACAGGAACTCGTCTGCTGATTGATGTGGCTTTGGCTGTCCCTTGATGCAAATTCGCAACAATGCATGCCAGATACACATGCCAAGCCATTGGCAGCAAATTTGCCTTCAACTGTTCCCGATCAAGCAAGGGACACCCACACCGCTGCAGCCCCCAGCAAGGATTCAATCGTTGCTGCAATCTTTTGCCAATGCGATGGTCTGCAATACCAACTAAACATCCTAGTCAAAATAGCCAACACTAGCAGTTAGGCTTCCTTCCAACCCACCAGCAAACTGAAACAAAAAATCTGCAGCTTTAGCAAAGTGAATAAAGTGTTGCAGTGCTATCTTTCAACAGATGAAATGCATAAAGGAACCTTGGCTGCCACACCTAAGAGTGAGAACAGACTCACGCCTGACTTTTGGTCTCACCTCAGGTAGTCGAAAATATCTGTGCAGTACCGCCAGACGTTCACAGAACCGAACTTTCGTAAACACTCATCGTAAAACCCATAAACCTGCATGCAAGACAACACAGACAAATAAGTGACCCATGAGTGCATACAGATGAATAAAAAGCACAGAAGCACATGTTCGAGTCCATACAGTGTTGGTCTGCATTCATGCATTCAACTGCACGAGTTGATGCCACCTCGTGCCAGACACAATTCATCAAAAGATGGAGGGCGCGCACAGAGTGCAATGGACTTCGAAAATTTGACAAATTGTCAGCAAAGTGGATGTTGGAGCGGAGCTTGGAGAGAGGGGAGAGTCGTATGAAGACAGGGCACCATGCTACTATCTGGATGGCCATTCTCTAAATGCGCTCAAAGCAACCAGTTTTACCCACAGTATACATATTTCAAGAATGCGCATTGGGGAGTAGGAGCTGTTCAGCAGGATGCAGCATGACAGCCAAGGCTGATCACAGAGTGAAAATAGCTATGCCAGAAAGGCTGTGAGACCTTAGTTGTCCACTACTCATCTGTGGAATTGTCCTTGTGTGTGTGCATCAAAGAGTCTATGTCAGTACACATGCCTCCGCAAAGTATGCACCAAGTGGACAAGCAGAAGCTCTGTTAGCAGTTGCTGCAACATGAGCTGCCTGTAATTCTTATTTATTTTATATTTATCTTTTATTATTTTTGCGGAAAGGTTCCAAGCAGTACAGCAGGACAACAGTCACCAAAGACCAAATGGGCTTCATTGCATGTGGCATTGAAAAGTACTGCAGCATGTGCCTCCATCAACAGTTCAAAACCGTTTCAAGTTACATCAACCTGTCAGTGTCAAGCTGGCATCTGATGCTTTCTCAGCCAATGAATCCCTCACAACCAGTCTAGGCATGTCTACTGTGAGACGAGCTGGCAATACTTGCCTGCGTGATCTGTCGACTCTCATGGTTGCCTCGAATCAAGGTTATCCTGTCTGGGTAGCGAACCTTCCAACAGAATGGGCAGAGCTGGTCAATCACGAGTCAAGACGACATCGGGTGGGCGCGCGATGTGGAAGCAAGCATGGGCAATGACCAGTCAAACCGTTAGGAGAGGGAGCTGATCTTTCTGACGACATTGCCAGGAGATGCCACAGTACTGTCATTGTGCATGGAAGAAGGCTACTGGCATGATTCCATCTGCAACAGTTGTTTGACCATGCTTGTTCAACACAGACATGCAGGGGTGGTGAACAATTCAAATGCGAGGATCAGACATGCAGACCAGGATTTCCGGATCGGAGACAAAATGCAAGTGCCTTGTGCTAAGCAGGGAGCAGAACACAGTCAACCACCTGTCCCACCTTTGAGACGACCACACATCGGGCACAGGTGCTTGTATATTGGCACTTTCAGCCCCTCAATTTGGTAAGACGAGTTACAAGTAAGCTGTGACTAGGGGTTTAAGATGCAAACACAACATCCTTCACCACTTCGATGAGGCCGTCAGTCAAGTTTGACCAAGTGACAATCAGTTAAGCTCGACAGCTGCAATAATGCAGCCAATCATTAATGCTAACATGATCTTATACAAACGAAGCAATCGACAACACTGGCCCCAGCAATGGAGTAGGGTTTCCAGCGCGTGGACCCCAATCGGAAAACGTTCTGGCAGGTGGTAGAAGCATTGTGCTCTCTGGCATTCATGCTCCCAGCAAGCTGATTGCTGACAGCAACAACACATAAAATCAGTTGGATCGTAAGGTTTCGAGGACAATCAAGAGGATGGGACACAACATCGTAGACATCTTTGGGACAGGCCAGCGGAATACGGCAACAAACTTTCTGGTTTCCACACTCCATGTGACCTGATTAGCAGCAACAGAAACGCACACAGGTGGTGATAATGGTAAGGACCGCACAATCTGCCCACCTTCAGTGCAAGGAGCAGCAGAAACGTCTCGACACTGTAGAAGCCCCTGTCAACAAAATCCCCTAGGAAAAGGTAGTTCGTCTGTGGGCAGTCACCCCCAACTTTGAACAGCTCCATCAGATCATAGAACTGGCCATGAATATCTCCACCTGCACAGCACATCATCGTTCAGTTGTGCCCTGTTGCAATCAGCCAGTCGCCAACAGTTGCTAGTGCATGGAGCTGTTATTCCATAAGGTTGGGGTAGCCCACCTGCTCTCTACTGTCGCGATGGATAGAGTACGCATCTGCCCTGGAGTACACAGTTCAGGATCAACTTTTCACAGGCAGAGGTGGGCATCCAGTAAGTGCTCGGTTCTCTAATTGACTTCTGTGCCTGTTTTCTGAAGCATTAACCTATCAGCACATACTGTGCACTAACCCAACACGAAACTGCCAGATTTTATGATTTCAGGGAGCTTGTAGCATTGATGCACAGTCGCAGAGGCACATGATACGACCAATGCACTTTTCCCATTTGTGTACACAGATGGTTTCATTTTTGCCACACTGGACCATGGCTGAGGCCTCACCTCACCTTTCCAGGTGGTTTGCTGGCTAACCATAGTTGCAGGGTTAGCAGCTTTTCAATCACTCAAGACTTTGAATACATGACGCAATACCACAGCACCCATACTGCTGTGAAATTCAGCAGATTGTGTTTGCACCTCAAAACAGTCAGCAACTATGGCCAGTGCAGCATCCAACTAGCTCCAGCATCTTGTTGCCGAGATCTTGAACCTTTTTGTGAACGTTGCAAATGCTTTGGCAGCCAGTGCAAACACCAACACTAATTAACCCCAAAACAAAGGGCAACTTAAAGGGCCAGGAAATAGAGCAAAGAGCTTGAGCATCCACAAGAATTTTGCAATCTTTGTCTGCCCCTTCATCCACAAGGACGTTATTAAAAACCTTACAAGGATGACATGCACGAAATGTAGGATCGACCTCAAAGACTTGGCACAATCAGCTGCCCTATGAGTTGCTGGACTTAAGCAAGGATGCACAAGAGCAGCTAATAAGCCACGGAATCAGACAGCTTCAACTCGCCAGTCCCAGTGCCTACCAGCGCCCTGCAGATGCAAAGGGACACGTTTTGACAGTGGTGACCACTGCACATCGAAGCACAAGTGCTGGTGCCAGGCCAGAGGACAATGGGTAATCCCTTGCAGCCACAATGCAAACCTGTCCCAGTATAGCCAAATGGCCTTGTGGTCATTTCGGCTAAAGCTGTAGCCTTCCGCTGAAAGCCGCAAGCTTTTCAGCCGCGATTGCAGCCTAAAACCCAAGGCAAAATGGCTAAAAGAGAGCATACAGTTCCTTTAAAGAAAACAGCGCATCCATGAGTTGTGTCACCAGAACATCGCCAGGTCTGGGGCCATGTGAGCCTAAGTCTGAAACTATGAATCACATGAGACAAGGTGTTTAGTGCAAACCGGGCCAACATTTTTGAGCGGTTGGTGCGGTAGGCACGGCTCCCGATGACTGGCGGTTCGCAGTCACATGCTTCCCGTCACCCGGCACTGCCTGGTTGCCGGGTAGTGCCCCTTTTTCTGCACACTACTGGCCCGGTGGCCAAGGGCCAAGCTGGTGGCAGCTCGTCCCCAACGATCCCGACAACTGCCACAGCGATCGACCCCCGCCGCAATGTTCCAGGCAAAGCCCAACGCACGGTGCCACGGCCCGCAGATTCCCAAACTCCTTCGCCAGCGGCACCTCCCCGAGCCCCGCGCGGGCCCCGCCGCCCCGCAAACCGTCACGGCACCGCGCCGATCGCGCCCAGCCGCGCCTTCCGGAATCGCCCAATCCGCGCGGCACGGCCGCGCCGGACCTCCACCCGAACAGCGCCCTCTCAGCAGTCTCGCGGCGACCCCGCTGCCGCATCCCAACCAGCGTTAGCCCGCGATCGCCCATCCCAGCCCATTTGATCCCCCAGGCAAACCCTTCAAGCAACGGCCGCACCCTCCCGCTGCTTGCCCGCCCGCCGCCCACACACCCACCAACCACGATCCATCCACCCAGTCACGGCCCGTGCACCCTTTCACAATTGTCTCCCCCCCCCCTCCCCCAAATACATGCCCCTGCGCTCACATATGGTCACCGGCGAGTCCACGCGCTGCACGTTGCCCTCCTCCACCAGCAGGTCCTGCGCGTGCTGGCACAGCACCTTGACCTCCGACTCCTGCAGCGGCTCGCACCGTTTCAGCTGCTCGATCCAGCGGTCCAGGTCGGACAGGCCCGCCATCCGGGAGCCGGCCGCCGAGGGCGGGGGGCACCGTGCGCGCGGGGCACGCCGCTGGGTGGGGGCTGGGGCTGGGGTTGGCGAGGGCGGTGGCCCCGGAACGAGGCTGGCCTATCCGGGCACTAAATCCGCGTTTGGCGCCATGAGGAAGGTCGCCGGAACACCGCACCGGCGCCCAAGTTTCTTTTTTGGGGCGCCTTTTTTCTCTTCTATTTTGGTGTGTATGTGGAGGGGGGAACGAAATAGAAATGGAAAACGTACATGTGCGGTGCGGTACAGAGTTGGTGACGTACGGTCGGCGGTACAAGTACCGCGCGTCGCCGTCTAGTTGAACGCACGCTGCACCTTGGTGTGAAACCGGTACAAGTGCGTGGTACGGAGCGCGTGAGTAATAATTTAGTGCTAATACCAAACTGGGTACAGTTTTGATGGCTCCTGTACGGAAGTACGATTATTGAAAAGCTCGGGTTTCACGTGACCCATATCTGCCAGGCTGTTGCCAAGTGGGTTCAAGCCCTGCCGTTCCAGTGTACTTATCCATTCTGTACAAAATTTGTGGTCATTTAATGCACTCAGATTCAATTATCTGAGCTGAATTCAAGTAAATAATAACTGTGTACTGCAAATGCGCCCTCTCGAAAACACATGCACTTGTCTGTGGTTGAGATTGCCCGTTGATCACACTTTGGCTTCCATTCACTAGGAAAACAGGGCCAAATAACACTTCTGCGAACACACATAAAACACATTTCTTCAAAGTTCTACACGCTAAGAGCACAAAGTTAACACAACCCCGTAAACTTTGTACACATTTGTACACGTGTTATTTGGCCCTTTTTTCCCTAGTGATTTAAGCACTGTGTTAGCACTGATAGCACTTGCTATCCTGAAGTACCAGCTAGATAAGTCAAATACAAACTTTCCAAAATACAAAAATGCAACACGAGTTTTCGATGGGCAGCACACGTTCAGTAGTTTCACAGATAACTGAATTTGAACTCCCCTTACCCCTCCCGTACATATTGGGCAGCGCCTGCAACAGAAAGCACCTGTGAATTGTACAGTACTGTACTGCACTAGTGCAAGCCGTACCGTCGAACAAATTTCTGTAGAAACCTGGCAAAATTGCCACTTCGCCCGCACCGCCCTAGCGCAACTGTGGGGCAGCCGTGCCTGTAAATGGTAGTACTTAAGGCAGGCGCCCAAACAGGGTAGGGTAAGACGGCATAAGGTACTTCAGAACCGCACAACAACAAAAATAAAGTATGGGTGGCACAAATATGGAGAAGCTCAGGGCTGGCGCGTTCGAGAATCCGGAAACTCCTGGCGGTTTGCAAAATGACGGTCCGCGCTTTTCCGAAGTACAACATCGTGTTGTTTTCGCCCTGCTGTTTGTATTGTTGGTGTTGTTATAAGTTCCAGCTTTTCTGGCTGTCATTTGGATCACTGGGAACTGCAACACAAAAGAGATTCATGCGTCGGTACTGCACAAGTGTTTGAAATACAAACATGTCCAGCACGTACATCCTGTTTGGACCTGCATGGAAACATCGTCCAAATCCAGATCAACGACCCAGACGCACAGGATCACTGAATACAATGTGGTTCTATGTTCTGTTCGTGTTTAACACCTGAAATTCCTGTGACAGTACGATACCACATAGTGCATCACACGTACCGGAGTTGAGAGCACGCACGGTGCTGTTTGATATGCGAAGATTGATTTTGTGACCGTGACGTCTCGTGATTGTCGACAATCTTATGTTACGTTTTCACCAGTCAGGGACCCGTTCATATATCAAAGGGTAGAAATCGATGCAACACTGTGCGTACAGCGTCGCAATTGCCACTGATTGATGCAATATCGAAGAGCGCTGCGCCAATGTCGGTGCGGCACATGTCTCAACATTGATGCAACGCTGGAACACACATCAGAGCTTCGAAGTATTGAGGAATAGGTACATGTTGAAGGATTGATTTTCGTTGCATCGATGGCAGTGCGGCCATCATACTGCTTCAAATTCCACTTTTCCTTCAATATTTGTTTGCATGCATACGCGTATGGATGCCCGCCATCACCTGCGCACTTGCAACCCTCTCAGACGGTGGCAATCCCACACGAAAAACTTTCAGGAAAAGTGCAACAAGTCTTAATATTCTAGAGCGCTCAGATGTTGAGGGCCGTTTCATGCTGCATGCAGCAGGTGTAATTTATGTTTGTTGCAGATTGCAAGAAAAATGACGTCAAGTGCAAATATTGCGCGATTTTCCCATTTCAGCGCATTTTGAGATTGCTTCAGCACCAGATTCCTCAATTGTCACACACTTATTCTTATTTTAAATTGATTGAAACAATATTTATTGAGCACGAGTTAGGGCGGTTCAACCAGTCGTGTCTGTCCGACAGAATTTCTGAAGTATCTGCAAATAATATGCTATCACATGGTGAGTGAAAGTTGTTCTTGATATTTTTTGCAAATTATCAAACGCCACCGACGGTGTAGACCGTCCGATTTCAAAAATGTGTTGAATAAAGAGAGTTCCTGAAGGGAACGTATTCCCTTTAGGAAATCTCTTTATTCCACACATTGTAAAATTCGCGTCTTCTTGGGCAAACAGGTGCACCAACGCACTATTGAGCGTTAATTTCTGCATTTGTGCGTACAAAAAACACTCTGAAGTCCAGCGTGTACTGCACATTTAAAATGTATTGTCGATCATGAACAATACATGCCGATCTACCCACAATGTCCACCCATTGACTGATGTGGATTGGTTGAATTGCGTAAATATCTGGCTTCTATTGTATAGAACATAGACATTGCTTATGAGGTCAATATCTCCGGGTGTTGATGGTTTCGTCTTTGCCTCGGTGTACCGTATCTCTTGATTGAATTACGCAGACCATCCGTGCATTCATGCCAATGGCCAACGTGCACGCTGACTGTTGACTCCTGTTGACTTCTCAGTTGACTTTCTGTTGACCTTGCAGAAACTACGACAGCGCTAATGACCCCACCCTCCTCCAATCGCGCACTACATCCATGCACGGCAGGGCCACCACCAGGTCCCTGCCTTCCCATTAAGGTGCCGGACAAATACCTGATCATTTTCCGAGTCTGTCGGGAGGCTTTAATTGGATTGACGTCGTCGAGAAACGTCCACCTGATAGCCTGCATGCGCTTCCCCTGTGGCCAAACTCCTGCAGCATTTGAACCCGCGCTTCTAAGTACTGGGGCGCCGCATGACGAGCATACAGGATGCCGAGGGCTCTCCACAGCTCAGGGCTCACCCCTCTTTCCGCGCAAAGGGATTTGAAGGGAGAGCAGCCGCGCGGGGCGCCTTGATCCGCCGTGATCGCGCTCTCCATTGCAATAGGTCACACCAATTGGTGTGACACGGCCCCAAGGATCGCCCGCCGGCGGCCGTCCAACGCCAAGTCTCGCGCTTCGAGGCATGGTGGCCCCGGGCGCCTCGATTGCGAGATGCATGGCCCATCAGGGCCAGGCTTCGACGTGCGAGGTGGGTGTGCTGGGGAGCGCCGTGATGGCGTTTTCATTGGCGCCTTACGCCCCCAATTCCGAATATCATCAATTCACGTCACAATAAAGTACACAGTGCGCGGGGCTGGAGGGTGTCCTCGCGAGCAAAGCCCGCCCCGAGCTTCCAAGGACACGCCCTCGAACGAATTTGGCGAGATTTGATGCAGCGTCTTCTCTTGCTGGCGATCTGCGCTTCCTGCCAGCGCGATCTGCACAGATTGAGCTCGCAGAGGTTTTGCAGACGCAGCAGATCCGTTTCCTGAAAGCAGCCCATGTGGAGGAAAAGCCACAAAAGAAACAAACCCTCGGCTCCCTGAGTGACGGCTTCGGCGGCTGTCTGTTTGCCAAGAATCACATCTTGGCTGATTGTACAGCCCGTTTGCACACCACGCTTCAGGGGCTACTAGTTCCCCTTTCACCTTTGCGGTGCACACATTGCAGACTTTTCTTCCAGATGCGACAATGGCTCATTATATGGTTTGGAGATGCCTATTGACAAGTTGCAAAAGTGGCGACTTGTGCTGGCTGCGCAACGGGTCTCTGTCGCTTACTCAATACAGTGAAACGTGCTGTCCGGCTATTGCTGCATCACTGCATGAGGAACACTTTGAAATATTTGAAATTTTCCCATGAGCGTTTCCGCGCTGGTGTTCTTCACCTTATTTCCAATCCATATGAAGCTGATCTGTCGCTGTTCAGCCGCCTTGCATTATTCAACCAATTGTTTTGATAATGGCCATTTGGAAATAAATTGGCAATGACTTCCGAGTGTGCAGGTCACACAATGATGCACCATATTTGGCGCTGGTTGGCGTGCAACCGAGGAAAGTGGTAGTCAACATGTCAAGAGCTATTCACTTTAATTTTCAATCTGATGTTTTTTTCAAATTTGCTGCCAAAGTTTCCGCACAATAGGATCACAATGGCGGTGGTGCTGAAGAATTTCAGGCTCTGATGCATCGGTATGAAGATACAGTCTGTCTTCAAGGCCAAAGGAATGATGCAACACAGGCTGACATCAGCTGTCCTCATATATGTCAAATTACACAACGAGCGTCCCTTCCAAAATGTCTCTGAACACGGCCGCAAGGACGAGCTTGTACTGTCCACTGTAAATAAAGACAATTAAACCCTATAGGAGACAGAAATAGACAATTCAAGACAACCGGGAATTAAGGGTATCCGTAGCGCATGGCCCGGAGGTGAATTATGAGCGCGGCGGATAACAATTATCTGCGGTGTCGCGGTTCGGGCATTTGATTCGCCCGTTGTGCGTTGCATCAGGGAAGGAGACGCAAGGTCGCCGCGAACATGTCGCAATCAATGAGGTAGCGCACGGCACGTGTGTGCCACACGCTTGTGGTCTTAGGACCACGTTTCTTGGAGGTCTGTGAGCCCAGGCGAAGAGAATCTTGTGTGTGATGGATATCGATACCCGCCCAGGAGAATTTTCTGACTGGC